TAAATAGCTCTAGAAACCTTGAATAGTTGTTTGAATTGCATACAATATATAGGTAGTATCTGTTTAATGAGATTAACTCAGCACTATGGTTCTTCCTCCGCTGTAGGTTCTAGAGGAATTACATTTTGATTTAGCTATTGGTAAAGCATTTAATACTCTTAATTGCTCTTTTTAAATAGTCTTTCATATCTTCCCCCCAATCTGTTTCCTGTCTGTCTGTCTCCTCTGAGATATAGAATCTTCTGCTGTGTTGCCCAGGGGGCCTCATATTCTCCATCCTTTTATCCATCCTCCCAAGTAGCTGGGATTATAGGTACAAAAGACTGGGCCTGGGTAAATGTTACTTTCTTGATTATGCAAAAAGTTATATGTTTCTAGGTGTGGGTGGTGCAGGCGGTGCACAGACTTTAGGGGTCTGTGCAAGAGAATTGCAGGCTTGAGCCCAGCCTGGGCAAGTTAGTAATTTATGAGACTCTTTCTCAAAATAAAAAAGCTCTGGAAATACATAATTCATTCAAAGGCCTTGGGTTCAATCCCCATTATGGCAAAAGAGAAAAACAAAAGGGCTGGAGAATAGCTCAGTGATAAGAGTCCTCCTGGTTTAATCCCCCCATGGTACAAAAATAAATAGATAAACAAGATGATAGGATCATATTGTGAGACTTTTAACTGACTCACTGTATCATGAATATTTCCCCTGTTGTCACAATTATTATACAGCTTTATTTCAAGTGGTTTTCATGTGTCTTATCAAGTATTTTGTTGAAAATACTTCATCTTTTGTTTTTAGGCTTTTCTTTTTTCAGCCCTTCAGGGCTCAGTCTCCCAGGTCTTAGGTGCTGGCATTATGGGCATGAGCCATGAGCTTCAGAATTTTTTTTGTAAAACTGTAGTGTTCATCTTAATGAATTACAGTAAAGTGAGCAGCACCCTTGTAACTACCACTTAGGTCAAGACATCAACATGACCCATAGCCAATATCCCTGTGTATCCTTCTTCCCCCTAGAGGTTAACTACTATTCTGTCTTTCTGGAGATTCTGTCTCGTTCCCTATTTGTGTCTAACACTGTAGTTTAGTTTCTCTGTTTTTTTTTTTTTTAATCTTTTTACAAGTTGAATCATTATATGTGCTCTTTTTAGCTTTTTTTCCTTAAATACTTTGAGACCAATCCATGGTTTTGCAAGTAGTCCCAAGTTTGATTCCTGGTACCAAAAAAAAAAAAAGAAAAGAAAATTCAGCCATGTTGTAAGACTCAAGATCATACTTTAAAAAGTGATCCTAGGGCTGGGTAAGTGGTGTCGCTGCCTGACTTGCAAGTGCAAGGTCCCCAGTACCAAAAACAAAATAAAATCTATTTCCTTTTTGACAGACTTACAGAGTTAATATATAGAAAGTTAATAACATCAAACTTGCAGAATTCATATGAAAATATTAATGGTCTTTTAAAATGGAATATTAGAATTGCTTTCATTTTCTTAAAGGTATTCTGTTTGTTTGTTTTGAGACAGGGTCTCACTGTGTAGTTGAGACTGCCCTGGAACTCACTATCCAAGGCTAATCTCATAGCATTCCTCCTGCCTCAGCCTCCCACGTGGTGGGATTACAGGCCTGTGCCACCACACCCAACTTCTATTTGCTTTTTTACTGGAGATATAAATAGCTCTAGAAACCTTGAATAGTTGTTTGAATTGCATACAATATATAGGTAGTATCTGTTTAATGAGATTAACTCAGCACTATGGTTCTTCCTCCGCTGTAGGTTCTAGAGGAATTACATTTTGATTTAGCTATTGGTAAAGCATTTAATACTCTTAATTGCTCTTTTTAAATAGTCTTTCATATCTTCCCCCCAATCTGTTTCCTGTCTGTCTGTCTCCTCTGAGATATAGAATCTTCTGCTGTGTTGCCCAGGGGGCCTCATATTCTCCATCCTTTTATCCATCCTCCCAAGTAGCTGGGATTATAGGTACAAAAGACTGGGCCTGGGTAAATGTTACTTTCTTGATTATGCAAAAAGTTATATGTTTCTAGGTGTGGGTGGTGCAGGCGGTGCACAGACTTTAGGGGTCTGTGCAAGAGAATTGCAGGCTTGAGCCCAGCCTGGGCAAGTTAGTAATTTATGAGACTCTTTCTCAAAATAAAAAAGCTCTGGAAATACATAATTCATTCAAAGGCCTTGGGTTCAATCCCCATTATGGCAAAAGAGAAAAACAAAAGGGCTGGAGAATAGCTCAGTGATAAGAGTCCTCCTGGTTTAATCCCCCCATGGTACAAAAATAAATAGATAAACAAGATGATAGGATCATATTGTGAGACTTTTAACTGACTCACTGTATCATGAATATTTCCCCTGTTGTCACAATTATTATACAGCTTTATTTCAAGTGGTTTTCATGTGTCTTATCAAGTATTTTGTTGAAAATACTTCATCTTTTGTTTTTAGGCTTTTCTTTTTTCAGCCCTTCAGGGCTCAGTCTCCCAGGTCTTAGGTGCTGGCATTATGGGCATGAGCCATGAGCTTCAGAATTTTTTTTGTAAAACTGTAGTGTTCATCTTAATGAATTACAGTAAAGTGAGCAGCACCCTTGTAACTACCACTTAGGTCAAGACATCAACATGACCCATAGCCAATATCCCTGTGTATCCTTCTTCCCCCTAGAGGTTAACTACTATTCTGTCTTTCTGGAGATTCTGTCTCGTTCCCTATTTGTGTCTAACACTGTAGTTTAGTTTCTCTGTTTTTTTTTTTTTTAATCTTTTTACAAGTTGAATCATTATATGTGCTCTTTTTAGCTTTTTTTCCTTAAATACTTTGAGACCAATCCATGGTTTTGCAAGTAGCTATGGTTCATTTTTAAAAATTGTACCATCATCTACTCAGTGAATATACTACCCTTTATTCAGTTTACTTTTGTGTAAATGATACAACTATGAACACTCTGCATTCTTTTTTCTTACGTGTATATGTATGTTTTTCTTCAGAGAATGCAAGCCTAGGAGTGAAATTTTTTTATATGCCAGTATGGTGATGCATGGGAAATTCTATGTTTGGCCTCAGGTGATAGGTCACAGTTAAAATGCCATAACATTAAAAATATTTAGATTATGCTATAAGTTGTATATAAAACATAAATTCCATGTTGGATTTGGATCCCTTTCCCAAGATATCTCACTGTATATATGCAAATAATCCAAAATCTGAAAAATTTCCAGGACCTAAAACACTTCTGGCCTAAGCATTTTGGATAAGGGATGCTCAACCTGTATGCTGTTTTTTAGACTTTTTCTTGTTTATTGTCCCATTGGCAGTGTCTGAACCTTTTGATACCATCATCATTTTATCAGTGTGATTTTCCATACTGTTGCCACAAATAGAATTTTGGGGGTCATTAGTGAACATTTTATCTTATGTTGTCCATCAGAATCAGATTGGTTTCATCATTCCAACTATATACTAGAGCCAGTAAGCATAACTTTAAGATCAATATTAAAATTTTCCCTCAGCTTTTAATTCTGAGGCATATTTATGGCTAATAGGGAAGAGGAAAAGATGCCAAAAGCTGTTTTCTATTTTAACTTAAAATAGCAAAATTTTACCTTAAAGTTAATGAAAATAAATAGGCGAGAACTTAATGGGACAAGAGATCTGTGAAATTGATGTTAAGGTGGTTATGGGTTACCCTTTTTTACTTTATGATATATTTTTCAGAGGTAGAATCATGATTCTACCTATTCTTTAACATAAATTTATTCAGTCATGATGTCCTGTCCTTTGTCCTGCCTTGGCTCTTCTCTCTTGTCAGTTCTCAATAACTTATCTTTTCCTGGATTATTTTTCATTTTTATTTTTTGCAGTGCCAGGGATTGAACCCAGCACCTTGTGCATGCTAGCTAGGTAAATGCTTTACCTCTGAGTTACATTCCCAGCCTACTTCCTAGATTTGAGGTGGGAGGCAACTCCTGAATTCTGTTTGAGAGTAAGTAGAGTCAACTTTAAGACTATGCAAGGAGCCTTTCGGGAGAATGAATGCAGGGTAGAGCTCTTCGGTTAACTGCAGCAAGTTGTCAATGTTTTATAAGGTTTAACGCCTCCATATTTTTCAGTAGACTTATAGACTAACTCCTCTCCTGTCTGCTGCAGATATCCCATGGTTGTTAGAAAGAAATTCATAAAACTCAGATCATTTGCTAAGCTAATTTCCTTTAGAGACCACAGAATAATCCACGTATCACTTGCTTTACACCTTGTCTTAGCATCTACCCTCTTGCTTCCTATTATCCAGCTTCCCACATCCCTACTGAAATCTGTTTTCCTGAGTTTGTTATATTTTTTCACATTTGCTTGTCCTGCTACGTAGAAATTCTGATATCTCCCCATAGCCAGCCCCTCTCCCTAGTAACTGACTTCTCTTAAAATTTGGTTCTGGCAGCACATCCACTTGGGAAGCCTTTGCCTCTTTTATTCTTATTCACAGTGAATTAGATGCCCTCTTTTCTTGGCTGTTGCAGTTCTTTCTGTATACCTCTATAACTGCCGTTTGTATTGTAATCCATTCGATTTTCTCCTTACTCAGGTGAGTCCCTTGAGGTTAGGGGCTGGATCCTGCTCTCCCTACTACCACCACCTAGAACTAGCTCCATGTAGCAGTACTTTATAGGAGGTGGCATCATTTCTAAGTTACATGTTTAATGAATGACTGAATGCAAAAGTATACCTCACTTTCTTAATGGTCTGTTTATGAAAAGAACTTGCTGAGAAAGAGCTCAGTTAGAAAGCGATTGGACCTGAGCAGTATTCTAAATCCCAGCCTAGAAAGGTAGCTCAGTAGTAGAGTACTTGGCTAGCATGTGTGAAGTCCTGGGTTATATCCCCAGACTGCAGAAACAAATGAAAGAAAACTAAGTCTCTCTTTTCTAAGAGCACATGAATTAAGAATGGCTGTTGTGCTTATAGAAGTTGGAGGGTTTTGTTCACCTGAGTTGTAACTTGCTGTCACAGAAGGATGCCCTGCAGTGGTCTCGAAATACAGCTGCAGTTGAAGGAGAGGAGCCAGAGGACTCAGCTGATGTGGAGAGCTGTGGATCTAATGAAGCCAGCACTGTGAGTGGTGAAAATGATGGTAAGTGCCTTAATGAGAAGAAGAGGGGAAAAACCCCAAACAATTTCTAGGAAGTAATCTTTTATTTCTTTTTCTTCCAGTATCTCTTGATGAAACATCTTCAAATGCATCCTGTTCTACAGAATCTCAGAATCGACCCCTTTCCAGTCCCAGGGACAATTATAGAGCTTCCTCTCAGGTTAGGACAGTTTGGGACCAGCCCCAGAGAATGAAGACAGACACAAGAATGGATTCTTCCTCCTTCTACAGTTAGCTGTGACATGTTTGAAAAATGGAGAAAGTGAATTTAGTGTTTATCTTAGTACCTTTTAAAAGTGGAGTATGGGAAAATGGAATATTACGTCCAAGAGCAGAATTTTTTTTTTCCTTGCCTGGAAAAATTCTGTGTACTCTGATACATATGTAAACATCCAGGGAGGAGTATAGTACAGTGCAGAGTGGTGAGAAAATGAGCTTGGGAGTTGGCTGTTTGAATGGTGGCCATGCCACACTAGCTCTGGCAAGTTCCTTATCTGTAAAATGGGAATAACAATACCTTTGTAGTTCAGGGTAATGCTTGACTAACATTAGTTAGGGCTATTTTCATTCCTGCCTTGCAGATTTGACTGTAGATGAACTGTTCTACTAGAGGAGGATAGGATAGGGTAAAGAGAACTTTTGAGGCTCTGCAGATGACACAGGCTCTCTTTCTCTACCCTCTGGGAATACAGGCAAACAAACAAAAGAAAAAAACTGGGATGATGTTGCCTCGAGTTGTTCTGACTCCTCTGAAGGTAAACGGGGCCCACGTGGAATCTGCAGCAGGTATGTATACTCTCATAGTTGTAGTGCTCTTTCCTCAGGTTCTGGGGACCTGCCCTCCCTCTGTTAGCATCTCTGACCAGCAGTGTGATGCCAGTAGAGCTGTTAAGCCAGAGCCATGAGACTTGCCCTCTTCTGGAAGGCAGCACAATGTGATGGTGAGGCCTGCTGTAGGTCCTAGTTCTTGGCTCTGCCATGTGTCTCGTCTCCTCTTTGCCTCCCAGGGCAGTCATAAGCATCTGATGAAGGATTGTGCCAGTGCTTTGTAAAATGTGTAGTTCTGTACAAATGAAGGCAGTGGTTTGGCATTCTTAAGGTGGTATTTTAAAGCTGGACCATAAACTGATGATTTCTGTCAGCCCAGGGCTGGGAGATGGAAGCACCCCAGTATTGCTGGCAGCATGTCAGGGAGAGCTGGGAGAAGTAAACTTATCTGACAGCCATGGGCGCGGCATGTAATGCTTTTGACCAGTGGAATGCTGTGCCTTCAGGGTTCTCGGGCCGCCATGCTGATGGTGAGAGTGACAGCCCATCCAGCAGCAGCAGCGGCTCTTTGGCTTTGGGTAGCGTTGCTATTCGTGGCCAGGCCGAGGTCGCCCGGGACCCTGCCCCGCTCCTGAGAGGCTTCCGGAAGCCAGCCACAGGTGAGAGGCTTGGCACTCATTTCTCTGCCTGTAAAGGGGGCCCCATTAGGCCTAGTGAGAAGATGATGTCATCTACTCTAGCTCTTTTTTCAGCTTAGTTTTACTTGGGTGGCCCTCTATTGGTTTTACCTTGTGTTTTGGTCGTTTCATGTCTAGGCCTCTGCTAGACCTTAAAGGAACTCCTTGTAGGTGGATATGGTGCCACAGTGCTCCTGGTCTGTCCCTGTAGGGTAGTGGTGGCAAGCTTATGGCATGCGTGCTGCAGCAGCTGTTTGTATCACTGAAAGCTCTAAGAGGTTCATCACCACTGTAGGGCATACAGTGCCTGCCTTGGTATTGCTTTGTAACTGGTTGCATGAGTGAAAATTGCTTCTGAGCTTCTCCAAAGGATTCCTGTATCCATTTTGATAGCATCCTATCATGCTTGCTCTCAATATCTATAGTCTCTATCAAACTCTCCCTTGTAACTGACTTAGTGTATTGAATGGAAATATTAAATTCTGGGACACACACAAATTCAGTAATGCTACATTGTGTACTTCTTGCCCTCAGATTATCTGCAAAGCTAGTATGCCTCTTTCTATTTCAGGATTTATTATGTGCTATAAGTTTTTGTAAATGGGCCACGTGAAACCATTAAGAAGAATAACTTTGGATTCTGAAAATTAGAATAAACCATTCCCCAAGTGGGAACTAGGTTTGCTGTCTTGCTGCTTTTTCTAAATCATGAACAATGCCCTATCTAAAATCTCACAAGTCTATCTTTGTAGTGATTTTTTTCAAATAAAAGAAACACTTATTTTAGAGCTTTTGAGAGGTACTGACATTTCATTTGACTTTGAACAACCTTTAGTATATTTCAGCCCAAAGATCATACCTCACAAAGGCTTCTGCAGGTTTTTCTGTAGATTTTTAACTAGATTTGCTTTTAGACCACTTCCATCCTTTCTCCAGTTGGTCTTTGTAGATCTTGGTTTGCAGCCTCAGAAAAGCTCAGAACCTGTCCTTGCCTGGTTTTCTTTGGGAGGAGTATCGTCTTCAGGCTGTGATCCACCACAGTAGAGTGCTGTGAGAGGTGGCAAGCCTGAGTATTTATTAGGTTCAGTGGCACCAGCAGTAACTTGGGAAGAACAGTTGTAACATACAGATTGTGATGATTGGACAGTTAAGCATATTGTGTACACGACAGAGTTCTGGGTAGATTGGGTGGTGCCACCAGGTTTTCCACCAGTTGGCAGTTGCTTATTTGTTTTTGTTATTGCTTTGTTTAAATGAGTTGATAATCTATACCTTGCTGCTTCTTGCTTCAAAAATCACAGGTCAAATGAAGCGCAATAGAGGGGAAGAGATAGATTTTGAGACTCCTGGATCCATTCTTGTCAATACCAACCTCCGTGCCCTGATAAACTCTCGGACCTTCCATGCCTTGCCATCACACTTCCAGCAGCAGCTCCTCTTCCTCCTACCTGAAGTAGACAGACAGGTATAAATACCTAGCCTTCTCCTGGCCTCTGTGTATGTGGTCTCCTCTTCTAAGTTTTCTTACTTATTTTCACTTTTGTTTTTCCTCAAAATTTCTAGGTGGGAACAGATGGCTTGTTGCGTCTCAGCAGTAGTGCACTTAATAATGAGTTTTTCACCCATGCAGCTCAGAGCTGGCGGGAACGCCTGGCTGATGGTAAGTAGCTTCTCAGATAGCTTGAGATGTTTGTTCCTGCCATGTGTGGCATGCGTTTCTTCTGATGTATAAAGCATGAGCACTCAATTCACCAGTCTCTTTTTCACTCAAGGATTATTTAGTGTAAGACAGGCTTTCCTCATGGTACTGATAATTGTAATGGGTATTAATGTGCCACACAGCTCCAAAAAGGGTATTCAGACTTTCACTGTCTTGGAAATTCATTTCCTTCTCATGAAAAGTATACATAACCATTCCAGTAGTCATGGCATTGCCTGGAAGGATGAAAGGGATTGTGATGTTGACCTGTTAAGTTTCACCATTTTCTTCTTGGACATAGTCACTTGGAGTAAATGTTGGCTTCTTTTAGATAATGTGGAAGCTACTTGGAGGCTTTAGAGGACCCCAAGATACCTGTGGGGTTAATGACTGCTGCAAGGACTACATACAGTCAAACTCAGGGTTATAATTTATTACAGTGAAAGAAAAATAGAATCTGCAAAGGAGGAGGCACGTGGGGTGAGATACAGAGAGAACCAGAAGCAAGGTTCAAAGGCCCTCAATGTGTAGGTACACACAACATGTTTACTTCTTCCAGAAACAAGTTGTGACAACACACGTAAATATTTACCAGTGGTGCTCATTAAAGAAGTGGTGCCCAGGGTTTTTATTTGGGTTAATTATGTAGAAAGCTACTACTTAGATTCCAAAGAGGAAAGCATAAACTATATTGTTGGTGTCAACAGTTCAGGGACAATGAACCACTGCTGTCAGTGTGGTGGGAAGTCTTGAAATCTAAGTTCCTACATGTCAGCCAAGGGCCATCCTTGGAAGCCTACTGTATTAACATTTTTCTATATGAGAGTAAGTCTGGAAGTTTTGTTTGTTTATTATTTTGCTTTTCTGAACAATGTTGTTTGCTTTTGAATGACTGATAACTTTAGGAAAGAGTAAATTTTTCTCATAACAGGCTTATTAAATCTGCCCTTAGTAAGAGCATGATGTAAAAGGGCCACTGGATGAGAGGAGCATATTCTTTAAAGATTTGTGGTGCACTAGAACCAGAAGACTTGACTGACTGTAGGGTAGGCATTAATATCCTGAACGCAGTCACTGCAAAAATCTTGTTTCAAGACTGGGGATTTAGCTCAGTGGTGCTGCACCTCCCTTTCAAGTACAAGGTCCTGAGTTCAATCCCCAGTACCAAAAACGATTTTTTGTTTCATTTTAGGTGAATTTACCCATGAGATGCAAGTCAGGATTCGACAGGAAATGGAGAAGGAAAAGAAGGTAGAACAGTGGAAAGAAAAGTTCTTTGAAGACTACTATGGGCAGAGGTAAGGTACTTCTCCTATGAGCTCTGGTGTAGGCATTTGAGGGAATAGAGGTAACTGGCCTTCCATATCCATAAATTTTGCATCCACAGGTTCAAACAACTCTGGCTTGAAAGCATCACGGGAAAAATTGCATCTCTACTGAACATGTATAGACTTTTTCCCCTTTGTCATTACTCCCTAACAACACAATATAACAACTGCTTACGTTGTGTTTGATACCATAAATAATATGAAAATGATTTAAAGTACAGTAAGTCTCTGACTTAAGAATAAGTGAGTTCTGTTCTACGAAAACGTTCATAAAGTTTGATTTATTTGTATCCAAAAAAGTGAGTTTTATAAAAACAGTAAACCTGTGAATGTTCACAACTTGAATGTAAGTCAGAGACTTAACTATACAGGAAGAGGATGTAGCTCAGTGGTAGAATGTCTGTCTGGCATGCATGAAAAGCCAATGGTAGTGTTCCAGCTGTACCACTGCAAAAATAAATTTACAGGACAATTTACATAGACTAAATGCAAATATGCTATTTCATATAAGGGATTTGAGGATCTGTGGATTTTGGCTTCCACTGGCAGTCTTAGAACCAGTTCTCTGTGTATTCCAAGAGATGACTGGAGTACATTTGTATGAGAATGTGGAAATTGTAGTAACTTGGGTCATGGAGCTTAATGCCATTCTCAGTGATGGTAATACATGTTTTTTAGTATTATGTACCACGTAGATTGGTTATATCTGTGTCTGTATATGTATGTATTTGTATAGCTGTGTATCTGTTTATGTATTCTATCTATGTATCTGAGTGTGTATTAGTGATAGAAATAAGAGCATGTCCTCTGGGGTGTATCTGATGGTGTGAGTTTGGTTTACAGATTGGGTTTGACCAAAGAAGAATCATTGCAGCAGAATGTGAACCAGGAGGAGACTGAAGTCAAGAGTGGCTTGCACGTCCCAGAAGAATCAGCACGGCCACAGCGTGGTCCAGCAACCCGCCAACGAGATGGGCATTTTAAGAAACGATCTCGGCCAGATCTCCGAACCAGAGCCAGAAGAAGTCTGTGCAAAAAACAGGAGCCAGAACAAGCAGGGGTTGCTAAGGAAGCAAACTCTGTGGCACCAGACATTTCACTCTCTGAGGATGGGGAGGCTAAAACTGGCTCAGCCAGGGTGAGCAGTCCCCCCCTGCCAAGCATATCCTCTGCAGCATCCGGCCCAGGGGTTCCTGAATGCCCTGGTGAACTTTTGGCTTCCCACGTCCAGACAGAGCCAGATAACTTGGCACATGCCTCTGCATCTCCAGACAGAATTCCCTGCTTGTCTCAGGATACGGTGGATCAGGAACCCAAGGATCAGAAAAGGAAATCCTTTGAGCAGGCAACCTCTGCATCCTTTCCCGAAAAGAAGCCCCGGCTTGAAGACCGTCAGTCCTTTCGTAACACAATTGAAAGTGTTCACACCGAAAAGCCACAGCCCACTAAAGAGGAGCCCAAAGTCCCGCCCATCCGGGTAGGAGGCTGTTTGATTCCTTATGGCCCTGGTCCCAAGTTTCCTTTGAGGATCATGAGATTATAGAGCCCCTTTGCAAGGACAGACAACCTGGGGCCCTAGTTTGAATTATGTGGGAACATAACTACAAACTTGACCAACTTAATGATTGGGGGATAATTCAGCAGTGACTTTCTTCACTATTTTACTCTTAAAATTAGGTCAGAATCCTTTGGAGTTTTTAATCTTTTATTAGTGTTAGGTTCTTTGCTATAGTGACTCACCCAGCCCCACCAAAAAATAAATTTAGAAGTGTGGCATAAACAGCCCTTCAACATAATTCAGAATGAAATAGTATTATGGATGACCATTTTACTGTGACTGTTGATTCCCTAGGCCATGACCTCTAAGCTAATAGTATCTCATATTTGCTTTATACTTCCTAATTTGGGTTACCCAGTTAAAATTGCTTTCCCTGTGCTTTTCTTGCAGATTCAACTTTCACGTATCAAACCACCCTGGGTGGTTAAAGGTCAGCCCACTTACCAGATATGCCCCCGGATCATCCCCATCGCAGAGTCCTCCTGCCGGGGCTGGACTGGTACCAGGACCCTTGCAGACATTAAAGCCCGTGCTTTGCAGTCCCGAGGGACGAGAGGCCACCACTGTCATCGAGAGACGGCCACCACTGCCATCGGAGGGGGGGGTGGCCCGGGTGGAGGTAGCAGCAGGGCCACCGATGAGGGAGGTGGCAGAGGCGGCAGCAGTAGTGATGGTTGTGAGGCCTGTGGCCAGCCTGAGCCCAGGGGAGCCCCGAGCACCCCCAGAGAGTGTACATCAGATCTACAGCGAACACAACTACTGCCGCCTTGTCCTCTGAATGAGGAGCACACACAGGATGAAACAGCTGTGCCTAGAGCCAAAAGAGAAGACTTGGCTTCTCACAGAAAGGAGGAAGACTGCCCACAGCAAAGGGTTCCAGGTATACTCACAAGTGGGCTGGGTGATGCCTCCCAGCCCCCAATTGCTCCCACTGGGGACCAGCCATGCCAGGCTTTACCATCACTGTCATCTCAAACCCCAGTGGCTGAGAGGTTAGCAGAGCAGCCTGAGTTGCATCAAGATACTAGAACTGAGTACGAGTCTGACACCACTTCCTGGGAAGTGGGTAGTGAGGAACAAGGAGCCACTGTTCCTTTAGAGAATGGTCCTGTACAGTCTCTAGTGCGAGATACATTAGCAAAAGGAACTGACCAGACTGTCAACAGTAATCCTATCATGAAGGATCCTGTAAATGTGACCCCCAGTTCCACACCTGAATTATCACTGACTGACTCCCCGCAGGACAGACCATTTGATGACAAATTAGGTCTTGGTGACTCAAGCCTACACATGAGGGAAAGTTACAGTAGACAAGAAAGCCTGAGAACTGAGGCTCTTTCTTCAGATAATGCTGCTCTTTGGACTCCCATCCTGTTGAATGACAAGGTAGTGAACCGTTCTGAGCTAGGATCCAGAGAAAATGTACTATCTGTGCAGCCTCAGGTTGGAGAAGAGTGGGAGAAAGCAGCTCCCCTCATTGCCTTGTTGTCTGGGGGCTTGGCAGCAGAGAATGATGTGGCTCCCCCTGACGAGTGTACTTCACTCTGGACTCTGACACCACAAGGAGGCATGGATGACACTGACACCGAGGACAAGGAAGTAGACGTTGAAAAGCTGAAAATCAATGGAGATTCTGAAGCACTGAGTCCTCATAGTGAATCAACAGACACAGCGTCTGACTTTGAAGGCCATCTGACTGAGGACTGCCTGAGTGAGTCAGGCCACCTGAGTGAGGCTACAACTAGTGAAGCCACAGAGAAGGAGGAATCCTTGTTGAAAAAGGATACTAAGCATGATTGGAACCAGTCTGCCTCACTGTCCAAGGTACACAGTGACCTAAGTCTGGTTACAAGGACAGAGGGGGTGGTTACTTCTCAGAGCTGGGTTTCTCGAGTATGTGCCGTCCCCCAGAAGATCCCAGACTCCCTCTTGCTGGCCAGTAGTGAGTACCAGCCAAAACCCATGAGCTTGGCCAGGCCTGGGTCTGCAGTGGAGGCCAACAACCCTCTTGTAATGCAATTGCTACAGGGTAATTTGCCCCTAGAGAAGATTCTTCCTCCAGCCCATGGTGGCAGCAAGACAGAATCCCAACAACTGCCCCTTACAAAAGGACAGAGCCATGGTGGCCCTCTGGGCATAGGATCTTTGCAAAACCCTGGGGAAAATGGTTGCACAATTGGCAAAAACAGTCCTGGTTCTTTAAGAGTGTTAAAGGATCCTCTTTCTGAGAGCTGTGAAACAAAGAGTCTTGGCAGGGTAGAGGCTACCCAGGCTCCTGGAGCACCCCAAATTTCCAAGTTGGTTCCAAGTCTAGACCCCCTACAACCAGTGACAGATCTGATGAACTGTTCTGAAAAACTGGAAGAAGTGGATTTCAAAGAGCAGCTCCCTTCCTTTAGTTTTGAAGATAAGGATGTCCAGGATGCATCCCGGTGCAGTAATTCAGATGCTGCTTCAAGTCCAGGAGATCTTACTACCTCGAGAGCACCTTGTTTCTCATCTCCAAATGTGATCTCTTTTGGTCCAAAGCAGACAACTGGGGCTCTGAGTAATGTTGAAGACCAAGGGAAAAAGCTTTTTGGCCCTAGGAACATGGCTGCAACCATTCAGTGTCCCAGGCCTGCAGACCCAATGCCGCTGCCAGCTGAGGTCTCTCCGGTTTTTCCCAGTAGGAAGTTGGGGCTGAGCAAAAACTCTGTACCTGGTGGGGTACAGACTGCAAAGGAAGACTGGGTTCCAAAGCCACCACCTGCCTCTGTTAGCATCAAGAGTGAAAAGACTTTTGTGGGGGGTCCTCTTAAGGCAGATGCAGAGAACAGGAAAGCTGTTGGGCACAGTCCTCTGGAACTGGTGGGTCATTTGCAAGGGATGCCCTTTGTCGTTGACTTGCCCTTCTGGAAGTTACCTCGAGAGCCAGGGAAAGGGCTCAGTCAGCCCCTGGAGCCTTCTTCCATCCCCTCCCAGCTTAACATCAAGCAGGCTTTTTATGGGAAGCTTTCTAAACTCCAGCTGAGTTCCACCAGCTTTAATTACTCTTCCCGCTCACCCTCCTTTCCCAAAGGCCTTGCTGGAAGTGTGGTGCAGCTGAGCCACAAAGCAAACTTTGGTGCAAGCCACAGCACATCACTCTCCTTGCAGATGTTCACTGACAGCAGCACAGTGGAAAGTATCTCGCTTCAGTGTGCATGCAGCCTGAAAGCCATGATCATGTGCCAAGGCTGTGGTGCATTCTGTCATGATGACTGTATTGGACCCTCAAAGCTCTGTGTATTGTGCCTTGTGGTGAGATAATAAATTATGGCCATTGGAAAAATTGTATATTTAGTGTGTGTATTTTGATAATGATGGATCTTAAATCTGTATACAGAATATCATTGATATGATAGACCCTGTCTCTAGGCAAAAGCACTGTTGACTCCATCTACAATTTACAGTGCTAAAGCCCTCTGTCACTGGTTACCCCTCTGGTCTTCAGGAAGTATTTCCTGCAACCAGGAAATACCTGTGGGTTGGCTAAGGTTGACCAGCCTGAGTCCTCTCAGGCAGCTGACGGGCAGGGGAGCCTGCCTGACACCCAGAGGGACTTGAAACAGATTAGAAGGTTGTGTTCTCTACAGAGAGAACTCACCTACCTGAACTAAGCAGGAATGTCTTCCATTGCCCCCTCCCTTCCTCCTCCTGCTACTTTGAGGAGTTGATGGTTGAGAAAGAAGCCAGATAGGGTTAAATTAACTCCCATTGTTTTTCACTAGGGGAAATCAAGCACCTGCTGACTTCAGGGTCACAGTTAAGGCATTTGGTAGTTTGATGGTGCCAGTTTAACCTTTAGTTCTGTTGGCTGCGTCCAGTTTCGGACATTCCTATCTCTGCCATCCACCAGCCCACAGGATTTTTTGCAAGCTTGAATAGCCCTGTTTGGACAATGGGGTGAGGGATTGGGGTTGTCTCCTATGAAAATGCCATCTGTCAATCTTGTGAGTCAACTATGGACATTTGCAGGTGACTCTGCTTGCCACCCACCCCATCACATCGGACTCGGGATGGGTATCTCCATGCACCTGTGTATGTGAAAGTCATTTTACATTTCCAAGCTGTGTGTTTCATATTTTTATATTTTTAACTCTTTATTCTTGGATGTATAAAGTGAACTTTTTGGCTTCTGTAAGTATGCTCTATGCACCTCTAATGTTTTATCCTGTATTTATATGTTGTACACAGTACTGGCCAATTCTGTAAATGGATGTATTGTACAGAGAACATGAACGTCTCTTCCTTATTTTACGTCTTTAGCATCATTACATTAAAGTGGTGCCATTTCTCTCTGCTGATTGTCAGAGCCACTGAGTGTTGTGCTGCCTGACGTGAAAGGGAAGTGACTGACTCATGATCTGTCATGTTGGCCTGGCGTTTTGTCACCTTTCACCAGGGGATCAACCACAGCCTGCAGAGCCACAGTCAGCCTGCCTGCACACCACTAAGCAAATGCATCTTCTTGCATCTCTTCTCTTCCAGTCTTTAATGGTTGCTTCCTCCATATGTGACAAATCACCACCACCAGTGTTAATTCCTTCTGGATTCATGAGTAATTCCCTGGGCAGCCCCCAGGTAGACCTTCTGGATCTGGCTCCAGGGTCCCCACCTGTCACAGCAATACCTAATACCACTGGGCTTGGGCTTCTTTTGACATTTTTGGCAGCAGGTTTGGAAAGAAACAGCTGTGCCTACTACCTGCCTCTCTCAACACATTTCCAGCAAGTAGATGCTCCTGTATTTGTCTTTCCTTATCCTGTTTTCTGCCTTCTATCTTGATTTAGTGAAGAGTTGAGAGCCTTCCTTATTAATTTAGGTCTGTCTGTGCGAGTGCTTCTGTATGAAGTATAAAGTTTGCCTTGGGTAAATATCTGAAAGCCCCCCCATCTGAGGTGGCATTATTGTCATCTGAAGCATGAGTGGGAAGTCAGCAATGCTGTGATTTAAATGCAGTGTAGATGAGGTCTAAATCATCAGCTCGAGTCTGTGTACCAAAGACCGGGAGCAGAGGCCCAAACGTGTTCTCTTCTTCCTTTTGGGACCTTTGGGCCCACTTGAGGGTATAGTTTGACATTGGTCTGGTTCGTGGGGCTGCCCAGAGAAAAAGCACTGCTCTTGTATGTCTCTTGTGGTATTGGAAAAATAAACGTATACAACCTGCATTTGTGGTCTCAGTCCTCTGTAGCCGCCTGCTGGTGTGGGAGGTCAGGTTGAAGTGCAGAGATGTAACGGGAGGGGCTGATGCCAGCTCTCCTCCCCATGACCCTAGACCCAAGTTCTTATATGTGGAACTCTTGTGAGGTTAGAAAGGAATGACTTGTTGGCTTCATTGGTTTCGGACTCTTGTTTGTGACTTGAACTCTGCCACCTCATGAACTAGAATCAAATCTAATGGGAGTGATGAGTGCTTTCCTCTGAATGCCGTAAATAGTGACCTCCCTCTGCAACTTGCTCATCCAAACTTCCTGTCTGAGGTTGACATTATCAAATAGAGTTCAAGTGATTAATTGGTGACCTGCAGGTGGGTAACCAATTCAGTCCTTGCTTTGACCTAAAGCGAGTGCTCGGTTGGCTGTTGCTCAAGGGAGCCTGAGTGGGTGCCAGGTACCACTGGGGTTAGCTTCTTAAGTCTCCAGACTCTTCTGGAGGACTTAATATAAAATACACGGTTTTGCACTTAACCAGAAACAATCCTAACATAAGCCAAAAGTAAAGCCAAATGATAAAAGTAAAAGTTACAGTGCAATTAATTGAAAGCCAGTGTGGCAGGACACCCCTTAAGGGGGGCAGTCTCGGTTGCCGTTTTGCAGTGATGCTGTTTGCAGATGTTAGGTGGCCCTGGTGACTAGGTGAATGCCTAGTGGTGGTAGTGTGTACTTGTGCCTTAGTGTCTCCGTACCCTTTGTCCAGTTGTATCTATAGGAGCTTAAAATGCTTCAGAAACATTCCCAGTTACATCTCAGCCAGCAGGCAAGTAGTGTATTTGGTTAGAGTAAGGCTGTGCTGCAGGCCACCTCTGTGGGCTTGGGTCACACTACTAAACTTGCGTGCCAGCTGCCCTGACTGTGGGTGGGTGCTAGTTCTCCATCAGGTGATTGGTGCGTACTACCTAGGAAATAGTGCAAACTACGTCATGCTAGATCCAGCTAGTGATAGGCACTGTGACCTTACAGTAGAAATCTGAACAGCTAATTGACACCTGCTTCACCTTTAGTCCAGATTTGGGATTTGAGGCTTGTTGCACTGAGGGCTGGTGCAGGCTATGAAGTTGACACCTGATTTTTAGTCTTAGGCTACAGTTGAGTGTAGTGCTGAGATTAGAGACAATAATTTGGGAAAGGAGGCTTGCTTACCCAGTGGTACAAGGAGACCAGATGTTTTGGTATATGGAAAGAATACTATCCTGTTGGCCTGCTGTGATACTATTAATTTGTTTGGGGCAACTTGCTGTAGAAGTAAGACCCTGCTTGGGAGAGGATATCCATTTATTGTGAACATGTGTTGAACAGAGGAACCTGCATCTATGGACCAAAGCATTGACCTGCTGTGAGAAGCAGATGCTGGGGCTGCCCTTGTGGATAAGTATGCTTTGAAGCTGGGGAGAGGGTGGCACTGAGATCTTGGAGAGTGTAATTTGAAACCCAAATTGTGCAGTTCTCATGCTCTTCTTTTCTCTGTGCATCAATTTGAAAGCCTGGAAAATACATCTCCACTGCAAGATATAGATGAGTATTCGGTGTGCACAGTGCCATTGACATTACTGCTTTCCTTGGTGGGCTTCACTGTTCTGGAGACACTGTTTCTGGGAGTATCGAAGATGTTACATACTGTTCAAAGGGGTACAGAGGCTCCCAAGGCAGCTGGGGAACCTTGTCTAACAACACTGGCTGATAATCCTAACAGCATTTGGGTTTGTTTTCATTTTTTGGGACAGGATCTTGTTACATAGTTCAGACTGTTGGCCTTGAACTGTATGTAGCCCAGGTTATGCTGGAACTTTCAGTGATCCTCCTGCCTCAGCCTCTTAAGAGCTGGGATTATAGGCATGCGCCATCACATCTGGCTGAATGATTTTTTTTTTTTAAAGGCAGCCTATGCATGTTCTCCCCTCCCCTCATTGAGTAAAAGGAAGGTTTGTCTGTTTTGAATGAATTTTATTTAACTGTTCTAAAGGGACATTTCCCTTTTGATGATGTCCTGTGTCCACTGTTAACAGCAGTGGTCTGGAGTGCTGTTTGAAGAAGCCAGACTGGAACAACCAGCACTTTTCTGCTGTACCTCAAGCAGTTTGTCCAAGGGAGTGCTCCAGGGAGTGATGAAAGACATCGAGGGATCATTTCTGCGGAGGTAAGTGTGACCTGGCTGGGAGGACCTGGGTCTGCATGAAGCCACAATGTGTTCTGGAGATGCCATCCTAAATTTGGGGACTTTAGGGGTCCCTTAGTATAGCGAGTCTCAATTTAGTATAGCAAGTGGTAATTCCAGCTGGACAGGAATTTTGGCGTCACTGAGGATTTGGTATCCCGTGACCCATACATCCATGGGAAGGGTGACGTGCAGAGGTCCATCTTGTTCTTGCCATACCTACACCTGTCTATGATGCTTGGCTAAGCCCCAGAGATACCACCTCCAGTGCATGTATTTGGCTACTACACAGAATTGTTTTCCCAGCATTCTTAGACCATTATTTTTAAAAATAGAGATTTTATTAACAAGAGTTGATGCGTGTGTGCGTGTGTGTGTGTGTGCATATATACACATAATTTGGACAGTAAAAATCTATGCTTTTAACTCACAGAATCAAACTTTTTTAAACCAATGGCAGTCAGTTTGTTCCTGCCATATTATCTCCTGCACTTTTTCCCTAATGCTTAACCTTGCAATACACATAGGATGAATGGAAAATGTGTGCACAGGTAAATGTGGGGAAAGTGGCCCTTTGGATTCCTTCCAATAGGATTCATAATGGGATGCCAGGTATGAAGGTTCAGAATCAGGGATCATGTTAGCTCAGTTTTCCAAAACTAGCACCTGGGGTTGCTAGAGGAATTTGGTCTCAGCCAGTCACAGTAGGGTGATGTTATACCCAGTGCACCTTTGCTGGTTTGTCTTTTAAGTGGGGACAAGGTGGATGTGAGAGAAAATGTAGTGCAGGGAGGGCTTGCTACCTGTGCTGGCCACCTGTTAGCATCCTGGAAAAGTTTCTTCACCTTCTAACAGGAAATGCTGAACCAGAATTATAAGTTTATTTGTTGAAGGCAGCTTAGGAACTTTGTGTGCTAGATTGCTGGTTAGAAAAAGGTAAAATCTACCAGTACAAAGATGTTCTGGTGCCAAACTAGATTTGGGAAGGGCAAGAGTTGGGTGGCGGTGCTGTGGATAGGACACAGAAGCACAGCGTCCAGTTTGTTGCTCATTGTTTATTAAGTAGATTCAGTCTTATATATGATATACAGATTCAAAAGGAAAAGGTTCCACATACATATGAAATCAGTGCATTTAGCAGTAATACCATGGAGATAACAGCTCGATTAACAGCTCATTGGTCTTCTGTTAAGTGAGGGAGAGGGAGTAGGCCTGTGCTAGTCATTCCACAAACAAAACAGAATTTAGTTGCATCACGTAGAAGACACATTCTAATAATTAAAATATTAAGCCACATTTACTGGAAAAACTCACCATACAGAACACAAATACTTTTTATAGAAAGCATTGAGGAGGAAGTTCTCACCTGCTTAGAAGAGCCACATTAAGTTGCATAGGTGCATATCTGTAAAAATACAATTTAGAGGTGACGCCATCGATTAATAGAGTCACCTTTAAAAGTTGGTGCCATTCATTGCTTGCCTTAAGTGCCATACACTAAGTCTGGATTCCCAGAAGTGGTGGCTCACAAATGAGCGCTTCCACAGGAACCCTGCTCATCCTATCTGCACTGAAAGTTAAACTCTCGTCTCAGACACGAACTCGCTATCTTCTTCCAGAACATGCCTAAATTATCCCAGTGACATCATGGGTTGACCCTAAGTCCTGGTTGGCTTGATCCCGAAGGCCACTGTATCATCTTGACCTTCCCATTGCCAGACTGCTCAGAAAAATTATTTCATTCCAGAGTTGGATGCCTTCACTTTCCATCTGTCCATGGCTAAGAGGAGGTCTATTCTGACCCTGCTCCTAAGACACATGAGGAAGGCAGATGGGGTGGGCCATTTACCAGGTAGAAAGTATTTTCCAGTAAATTGGAGTTCTGTGTGGTGTAGGTTTTTTAGTTTTAGGTGGAAACAGGTAAAAA